AAAGAAAAAAATATTAGTGTTATTATTTCAAAGATTTTGATAATTTGTATTACTGTGCTTTACTTATTACTTAGAAGATGTTAAATTTTAATATGCATCAAACAGAACTGATTTTCACAAAGGTCAATATTTTTTTATGAAAATTCATTAGTGAAAGAATATGTAACAATCAAGTCCATGATTTTTGTTAAACTATGGACTCTCTTTGTATGGTTTTTTTTCGTACTCTCTCTTTGTGAGTGATCAAAATATGTTTCAAGTGAAATTCTTACATTAAGTCCACCGTGGCTGGTTTGCAAGGTATTTTTTTAATTGTAAAATAATTTATCAATAAGTTTTGATAAATTACGTGTAGTGCTATTATGCTAAAGAATTGAAATCATATTCATACCCAACAAAATTGATAACAGCCAATCGTACTGTTTGATTGAGTCAAAAAATTTGAAATGAATTTTATATATCATTGCTTAAGAATAAATTGTATTTTATGTGAATAAAATTGATTATTTGAAATAAAACATATTTTTAATCAACAACTTTTCATATGATTTTGGGCTTATGAGATTATTTACAACGACGCGGTCCTTAAATGTCAGTAGAATGAGCATGATTTTTCTTTCCGATTCAAAATGAATCCACAGCCAAAGTTGAAGGCTGATTGTGGTCGTCGACCAGGTATCACTACAGTTCCTACAGTGATCCAACCATTTCCTTTGCAGGAAACATAAAGCTTTTTATTTTTTTTGTCAAAGATGGCTAGTCCTAAAATAAAAAATGAACGTTACAGCCAAAAAACTTTAATTAAGTTCAAGTAATTCCGATTAATTGATTTTACCTGGCACTTTTTCTCGAGTACAATTTATATTTGCACTTTCAGAAACCACTCTGACATCCAACAATTTAACGACTTCTTTGTTGAAGTGAGTTCTCAATGGTTCAATTCCACAAAGAGCTCTTTGCAAATTATAAATGTTCGTAGCACTCATATCTTTCCAATTGATGTACGATATTTTCTCCGTTATTTTAGGAGCTAAAAATTGCAACGATTCAAACAAAAATTCTGAATTATGTTGTTCTCTGGACTTCTTAATTAACGCTATTTACCATAAGTAGCTTCATTTTCAATTTGTGGTTGGGCTGTGTTTAATACATCTGGTATCTCAGTCATTGTCTCAGTCAGTAAATCAGCTCCCAAATTAGCCAATTTTCTGTACAACTCAACGTATGTTTCATCTGGATGTATACTGATTTTTCTTTGAGCAATTACAGAACCAACATCAAACCTAAAAGATCACAAAACAGTTTATTCTAATTTGTTATAAATATTAATATCTAATTTTGTTTACTTTTTTGGCATGATTTTCATGATGGAAACACCTGTAACTGTGTCTCCATTCAGCAAGGCATGACATATCGGAGCAGCTCCTCTCCACCTTGGCAGTAAGCTGCCATGTACGTTGATCATACCACTATGAAAATAAGGAGGTATTGAAAGTTTGGCTTGAAAAAAAAGATGCAAAGATTCTTACAGGGGAAATAAGTCGATGATTCTTGAAGGGATCAAGTGTCCAAACGAGACAACAACACCAATCTCAAAGTCATCTTTCTTAATTCGAGGTGGCCAGTTGTGCACAATGATGTTGTGCTCTTTGGCATATTTTATCACAGCGTTCTCTTGGCCCCTGTAAGCAGTGACAACTTCTAACCTTCGAAGAAAACCACTTTGTCTGCTGAAAATAGTAAAGATAAAGCATTGTTACCCCCTAGAAATTAATTACAAAGTGCTAATTGTTCAAACAAACGTACTAATTGTGGTTCAATGCTTTCAAACTGGCCAAAGCAAACTCATCGGTGCCAAAGAACAAAACACTCCAAGGTCCATTATTGCAACTTTGAGAATAACAATTGAATTTGACACTGGCACTGTATCGATTTTTCAAACCATGGATAACTTTTTCTCCTGCTTTTATATATGTAGATACGCATTTTGAAAATCTACGTATAATCATAAAACGGTTTTTTTTTCAAACAATATCTGTAACTCTCACTTACTTAACCTTTTATATTTATGCTTTACCCTCAAAACTATAGCAATTTTCAAAATAGAAAAGACAAAATATTTGTGCGTAAAAAATGAGGTGTGTTAAGTACTTGACTAGACATGTGTTGGATTCAAATTCAAGTTTTTATTGAATAATAAAAATAAAAAAAACTGGTGATGCGTTACATAGAAGTTGCTGTAAAAGATCCCATGTTTGAATTATCGATCTTCGATATTTTCGGCGTACGACATTTGTCGATTTTCAAAGCGTGTTTTGTGAAAAAATGTTTTATGTTTTATTTTTTGAACCTACAAATCAATCATACATAATTATTATTATTTTTTCATCAGAAGTTCCTTTGCTAAAAGTTAATTAACATTTCCATACGGTTTATTGACTTAATTTTTTTTTTTTTGCACTTTTATTTTTAGTCAGATTTTCCGAGAGAAATTGAATAAAGATATAATTATGAATTTTTTACATTAAAAAATACCGATAAAAACTCCAAAAAAGGAGCTTTCATCAAATTTTCTACGGGCAGACTAGGGCTCAATTATTTAATGAATTTTTCAACACTTAACAAACTTTTTTTTTTTTTTAATAAATAAAGCAAGTACATTTAAAAAAAATTTAATTACTTATTACGAGTCTGAGGATCCATTAT